GAACTGGAAAAGAACCTTCTACTTAACTCCCTCCGTCTCCAACACAACACCCAGTACTCAACAGCCTCCTTCTCCAACACAACACCCGATACTCAACAGGCTCCCTCCCCAAGCTGAACTTGAAAAGAACCTTCTACTCAACTCCCTCCGTCTCCAACACAACACCCAGTACTCAACAGCCTCCTTCTCCAACACAACACCCGATACTCAACAGGCTCCCTCCGTCTCCAACGCACACACATGTACTCCAGATCCTACCACTACAACACGACGCGACACCCGAAACTCCAACCGCAGCCGCCCCCCTTTTTTCTTGGCACCTTCCAAGAGAAAAGGGGGGTTCATGGTGGGTGCGCCGGCCTATATATATATATATAAACATATATATATATACATATATATATATATATATATATATATATATATACATGTGAAATATACATGTGTGTGAAAGAGCGCGTTCTGTGGTCGCTTGGAAGGGGAGGGTGTTGGAACGCCCCCCCCCCCGATGGAGGGGGTGGGTTCCAACCCGAAATGGTACGAATTACAACCGACTAGTCCCAATTCCAACCGTTCGGAGCGAATTGCAACCAGAAAAGAGACCACTTCCAACCACAAATGAGACCAATTCCAACCCAACCAAAAATGAGACCAATTCCAACCACGGATGGGATCTTCGGAATTCTTCCGGATCCCTTCGAATTCTTCGGAATTCCTGCGGATTCTTTAGGACTCTTTCGGAATTCCTTGGGATTCCTTCGGAATTCCTTACGCTTCCTTCGGAATTCTTTAGGATGCTTTCGGAATTCTTTAGGATGCTTTCGGAATTCCTCAGGATTCCTTTTTGGAATTCCTCAGGATTCCTTTGGAATTCCTTGGGATTCCTTCGGGATTCTTTGGAATTCCTTTGGTTTCCTCCTTCGGAATTCCTTTGGATTCCTCCTTCGGAATTCCTAGGAATTCTTCAGGACTCCTTCGGATTCTTCGGAATTCCTCTGGATTCCTTCGGATTCTTGGGAATTCTTCAGGATTCCTATTACTATTACCACCAGATTCCTTCGAATACGACTTACCACTACTACCACCACCACCACCACCACCACCACCACCACCACCACCACCACCACTACTACTACTCTACTACTACTATTACTACTACTACTACTACTACTACTACTACTACTACTACTACTACTATTACGACTACTACTACTACTACTACTACTACGACTACTACTACTGCTGCTATTACTTTTACTACTACTAGTAATAATGTTACGAATTCTACTACGACTACTACTACTACTACTACTACCACTACTACGACTACTACTACCACTACGACTACTACTACTACTACTACTACTACTACTACTACCACGATTACGACTACGACACCGACTACGACGACTACTACTACTACTACAACTATTGCTACTACTATTACTACTACTACTACTACTATTACCACTACTACTACTACTACTACTACTACTACTACGACTACTACTACGGCGATCATTATCACGACTACGACTACGGCTACTTCTATTGCGGCTACTACTACTACCATTGCTCCTTCTACTACTACTACTACTATTACTACTACTACTACTACTACTACTACTACTACTACTTCGACTTCTACTACTACTACTTCTTCTTCTACTACTACTACTACTGCTACTACTCTGACTACTTATTGCATTACTACTACGAGTATTACTACTACTACTACTACTACTACTACTACTACTGCTACTGCTACTGCTACTGCTACTACTACTACTACTATTACGACTGCTACGACTACTGCGACTATTACTACCACCACCACCACTACTACTACTACTACCACCACTACTACTACTACTACTACTACTACTACTACTACGGCTACTACTACAACGACTCTTATTATTAATAATATTACGAATTCTACTGCGATTACTCCTTCTACTACTACTACTAGTGCTACAACCTAGTACGACTACTACTACTACTACTACTACTACTATTACTACTACTACTACTACTACTACTACGACCTACTACTACTACCACCACCACTACTACTACTACTACTACTACTACTACTAGTAGTACTACTACTACTACTACTACTACTACTACTACTACTACGACTACTATTACGACGACGACTACGACTACGACACCGTTTACGACTACGACTACGACTGCTACTACTACTATTGCTACTACGAGTGCCACTACTACCAGTTTTACGATTAAGACTACTACAACTACGACTACGACTACGACCACTTCTACTACGACTACTACTGCCACCACCACCACCACCACTACTACTACTACTACTACTACTACTGATACCACTACTATTTGTACTACTACTACCACCACCACTACTACTACTACTACTACTACTACTACTACTTCTATTACTACTACTACTACTACTACTACTACTACTACTACTGCTACTGCAATTGATATTTATTTCGCTACTACTATCCTC